AAAAAAAAAAAAGAAGTTAAAAATAAAATACCATTTATAATCACTCAAAATAGAAATATGCATAAATCTAACAAAACATGCATACCATCTATATACTGTAAACTAAAAAATGCTGATGAAAAAAGTCAAAGAAAACCTAAGTAAGTGGTGAGATATACCATGTTCATGGACAGGAAGGCTCAGTGTAGCAAATATGTCAATTTTCCCCAAATTGATGTACTAATTAAGTGCAATTCCTATCAAAATATCAATAAGGTATTTTAAGATATAAAAATAATTCTAAAATTTATATGGAAAGGCAAAGGAATTATAATAACAAACAATTTAGAGGAAAAATATAAAGTGGAAGGTATCAGTCTATCTGATTTCAACATTTATGATTAATATAGTTATAGCAAACAAGACTATGTGGAAAAGGCTGAGTACCATTTATCCCTCATATGAAATGCCCAAGCCCAGAAGAATGTTTTGGATTTTGGATTTTTTCAAATTTTTGAATTATATGCATATACACAATGAGATATTTTGGAGATGGGACCCAAGTCTAAACATGAAATTCATATACCTTTCACATACACCTTATGCACATAGCCTGAAGATAATTTCATACACTGTTAATAATTTTGTGTATGAAACAAAGTTTATATAAATTGAACCATCAGAAAGCAAAGGTATCACTATTTCAGCCACCCAAGTGGATAATCTGTGATTGTTTGGCATTGCTATCATTCCTCACACTGAATTTATATGCTACCAATAAGCAGTAATTTTCTTACAATGATTCACACGTAAGTACTTAACAATGGCAATGTTATACCATTAACAATGGCAATGACATACCATTAATACAGTGAAAAATAAGTGTGTTCAAGGAAACTACACGGCACAGTAGCATCACCAGAATACCTTTTCCAGCTGTAAAACAATCAACAGTCAACATCAGGCTTTTAATCTCCACCTACAAAGCTGCATTTTGATTAAAAGGTTACTGCACAGTGCATTTTATTTATTGTTTGTGAGAAGAAACATCAAAAGCACTTGAGGGACCAGGAAGTGGGTCTTCTAGGGATGAGGCGGCATTCTGCTGGACAGTTTTTTCCAATGTTCCTTCCAGAGTCATCTGCCTCATTAACAGTGATTTCTGTCTAAGAAGTCTCTCTTTGATTTTATAGACTGACATGATTTCTTGTTTTGTTATGAATGCATGCTGTTCTAGTCCTTCAAGAAGTCCATCACACATTTTCACCATGGCACCTATAGGCAATTTTTCTGTAGTGTTAACACCATCTTTATCATCATAATCACCTTGATTCAGAACCATTTTACCATAAGTCAATGAGGGAACAACTGGAGCTGCATTATCTATGTTAAAAACTTCTTTGATATCCACCTTTTCCACCTCATTGACAGACTCTGAATGTATATTTTTTGCACGTGTTAGGTCAGACTTTTTCTCATTTGACATACAGAATTTTTCAAAGTCACCACCTTGTTCATCATCACTGAACTCATTAATGAATCTCTCTGTGGCACAATCAGAAGCTTTATCACCACAAATCTTTAAAAACTTAATGCCATGTCTTTTCTTAAATTTCTGCAACCAGCCTGTTGAATATGTACAGTTCCCTTCAATTTTCAGTTCATTGTGATAGATCTTTGCTTGTTTCATTATCAGCATACCATTAAGAGGCTTGTGTTCACTGCGTTGCTGCCGGATCCACTCTTTCAATACACGATCGAGAGCTTCATTTTTAGCCTTATGCAATGTTTTCCTATTTTTCATTAACTTTTGTTCCTCACTTTCAGCATAGAACTTCAGCAGTTTATGCTTCTGTTTCTTCAGGTCATATATGGTAGTCATTCCAACACCATACTCTTCTGTAAGATGCTTCACACTTACACCACTGTCTAGTTTCTCTAACAGCTTTACTTTCTGGGCTATAGATAAACATAAATGCTTCCTCTTTTTCTTATCATTGTTATCTATAGGGGGATCTGCAGGCCTTTTCAACATTTTCAACAATATCTTTACATCTCAAAACATAAAATAAGCAAAATAACACAGTGAGTTAATGCACATAGGCCTTGGGCTGCTGTTAGCACATACAGCCTGCACACGCGCCATTTTATTACCCTCTGTGGGTGTGCTTGCATGGAGGAATCCGGGCATGTATATAAAACATATATCACAGTTGAAAGCAGATAGGAAGATCTTTTGTCCCTCAATGTCAGTGAATAAATTGTGTGTTATACACCTACATTTTGACTGCAATCTGTCCCAAGAGGTCAGGTGTGAAATTTTCCACTTTTGGAATGCTGTGGCTCAAAAAGTTCAAGATTTTGTAGCATTGCAGATTTCAGATTTCCAAATTAGGATGGTCAACCTGTATTGGTAGAGGTATAAGCACATAGATCAATATAATAGAATAGAAAACCCTGAAATAAGATCACATAAATTCATACAACTGGTTTTGATAAAAGTATAAAAATAATTCAACAGAGGAAACACAGCCTTTTGAGCAAATGGTGCCAAAGTAATGGGAAATAGGCGAAAAAAAAAAAAAGAATAGAAGAACAACAACTATAACCGAAGTTTCACACCTAATTCAAATTTAACTCTGGACACAAACAGACCTTTTTCCCAAGAAGACAGATGAATGGCCAACAAACTCATGAAAAAATGCTAATCATCCCTAATCATCAGAGAAATGTAAATCAAAACCACTTTGAGATATCACATAACGCTAGTAGGAAGAGCCCACATCACAAGATCCCAAAGCTGCAGATACTGGCTCGGCGCCTATAGCTCAACCGGCTAAGGCGCCAGCCACGTACACCTAAGGTGGCAGGTTCGAATCCCCAACCTGGACCCGCCAAAACAACAATGACAGCTGCAACCAAAAAATAGCCAGGCGTTGTGGCAGGCGCCTGTGGTCCCAGCTACTTGGGAGGCAGAGGCAAGAGACTCGCTTGAGCCCAGGAGTTGGAGGTTGCTGTGAGCTGTAATGTCACGGCACTCTACCCAGGGGGACAGCTTGAGGCTCTGTCTCAAAAAAAAAAAAAAACAAAAAAAAAAAAGCTGCAGATGCTGGCACGGGTGTGGAGAGAGGGTTACACTTATTCACTGTTGGTGGGATTGCATACGGGTACAGCACTTTTGGAAGAAGGATGAAAAATCTTCATAGAAAAATAGACCTCCCATTTGATCCCATAATCCCACTACTAGTATCCACCCAAAAGAAAAAAATCATTTTACCATAAGGACATTTGCACTCAAATGTTCATAGCAACTCAATTCACAATTGCAAAGATGTGGAAATAACACAAATATTCATCAACTCATGAATGGATTAATAAACTGTGGTACTATACTATACTATAGAATACTATTCAGCCATAAAAAAGTTGGAGATTTTGTCTCTTCTGTAGTTATCTGGATGGATTTGGAGAATATTCTCCTAAGTAAAATATCTAAAGAATGGAAAAGCAACCATCCCAACAACTCAGTATTAATCCGAAAATAGGAGACCAACAGCTGTAGGTCTACTACACAATTAAATTCAAGAAGGCGGGAAGAAGAGTGGATGCGGTTAATTCCCACCTATTAAGAGGATCAAAATACAGGCCACAGACTGGGGAAAAGCTATTTATAACCACATAGCTGACAAAGGACAACAATCTAGAATAGATGGGGGAAAGGAGAGGGGTTCAGTAAGTTTCCATTTAAAGGTACAATGTAGGGGTATATGACACACTTCCTGGGTGAAGGACTCAACTGTAACTTGGGCTTTACCTTACAAATGCAACAAGGTAACCGAATCATATGCACGACATATTAATTTGAAATTTTAAAATGTTTTAAAAATTTAAAAAATACACAAAGTAGCCTCAAAACTCAACCATTAAAATAAAACAACAGAAAATGGGCAAAAGACATGTACAGACATTTCACTGATAATATACAAATAGAAAATAAGCAGAGAAAAAGATATTCAACACTATTCACCTTTAGGGAAGTACACATTAAAATCACAAGATACCACCACACATTTATCAGAATGGCTAAAATAAAAAGTAGTGACAATACCAAATTCTGGTGAGGATGCAGAGAAACTGATCACTCATATGTTGCTGCTAAGTATCTAAAGTATTTACAGCCATCCCACAGAACATTTTGGAAGTTTCTTTAAAAACTAAACATGCAGCTCGGCACCTGTGGCTTAAGTGGCTAAGGCGCCAGCCACATACACCTAAGGTGGCGGGTTCGACTCCAGCCCAGGCCCACCAAACAATGACAACTGCAACCAAAAAATAGCCGGGTGTTGTGGCAGGCGCCTGTGGTCCCAGCTACTTGGGAGGCTGAGGCA